TACCTCCATGAAATCAGAAGCATAAAATGTTAGTTTTTGACACCCCAAACAAAATCCCTAATCAGTGAATTAAATAACTTAGCTCTGTCTCTCACTGTCTCTTCTTGGTGCTGCTTCAGTTACTGTATATACATCTAAATAAAAAGTGACAAAGACTGACTCTATGAGACAGTGAATCAGATATTTACTCAAAATGTATGCGAGGTTGAAATTCCTCCCTTGATTTACATCTGTTTACTTATAAAAACTGAATAGCTTCAGTATTGTATTATAATTTTATTTTTTTATTTACATGTCTCTAACATTCTGTACATCCTACACGCATTCTCTATCCTATCACTTGTTTCTTCTCTTTTTCACTCTTTTGCACTATGAGAGAAAATCTCTTTTTACACTGTGAGAGTTGATTTTCTAATTTTGTACATTAATCTTACCTCCTTTTTATATAAAACCTTGTAAACTACTTCCAACACCTATTACACACAGGACTGAGTCTACACAATACAGTTTGATATAAAAGATGGAAGAAGAAGTGCTACCTACAGGAACCACTCAGATGAAGAGAAAGATTTCTAGCTACTGGAATTCCCATTAGGATATTTCTCCTTGGATCTTTTCTTTCCAGTATGTATCAGCCCCAAGCCAAGAGAAGTCTGATAAATTTTAAGCCTTTCCATTTCTCCCTGATTTCACACACACTTTATTATAGGTTGTTTATTGTCCTTCTTTCTTGTTTTTGAAAGGGTTGTGCCAGAAAGAAATACTACTCTTCTACTCTTTTCCCTTCATTTAATTTTCTGGATATGAGAGGTAAATCCACTGTATACTGATATATCCACCCTTTGCACTCCTGTTTGCAGTTTTTCCAAGAAATAAACAGAAACTTGCTTGTGGTAGATCCATCACTGTCTGAAGAGGAAAGCAGCAAAGAAAAAGAAATGCTTTTGACCTATGACTTTTGTTTCGTTTTTGTTTTAAAAGGAAAACAGAGGTGTTGCAAATGTATATTGTAAGTTACAGAATCACAGAACTGTAGGGGCTAGAAAGGACTACCGCAGATCACCTAGTCTAACCCCCTGGGAAAGCAGGTTCCCTACAGTAGGATACACTGAAAAGCATCCAGGCAAGTTTTGAGTATCTCCAGAGGAGACTCCACAACCTTTCTAGGCAGTTTGTTCCAGAGCTCCATCACCCACAGGGTACGGAAGTTTTTTCTCCTGTTTTGGAACTTTCTGTGCTCCAATTTGTGTCTGTTGACCCTTGTTCCAACACTGGGCACCACTGAAAAGAGCTTGGCCCCATCTTCTTGACTCCCATCCAATAGATATTTATGAGCACCGATAAGATCCTCCCTAACTCTTCTGCAGGCTGCACAGACCCAGGTCTCTAAGTCTTTTCCCAAATGGGAGAATACTCTATGACATCACATGAAACTATAAAAGCAGGGGAGTTGGTGGAGTGGAGAGGGTCGCTACTCAGGGACTGGCTGGGCGTTGGTGGGTGGTGAGAAATTGCACTGTGAATCACTTCTTAGTACATACATGTTTTTATTAATATTATTGTTTTCCATCCTTTTCTGTCCTATTAAATTGCCTTTATCTCAGCCAATGAGTTTCACCTTTTTCTGATTCTCTCCTCCATGCCACTGAGGAGAGAATGAGCAAGAGCTGTGTGCTGCTTAGCTGCCTGCTGGGTTAAACTATGTTTAGTACAATCACAGAATATCCCAAGTTAGGAAGTACACAAAAGGATCATTGAGTCCATCTCACAGCTCCACACAGCACCACCCAAACCCAAACCCTATGTCTGAAAGCAGTGTCCAGATGCTCCTTCAACTCCAGCAGCTGAGGGCCGTGCCCCCCGCCCTGTGGTGCAGACCCCTTCCCTGACCCCCAGCTGCCCTCCCCTGACGCAGCTCCATGCCGTTCCCTCGGCCCTGTCGCTGTCACACACAGCAGAGCTCAGCGCTGCCCTCCGCTCCCTGTGAGGAGCCGCAGCCGCCATGAGGGCTCCCCTCAGCTCCTCTGCTCTGTTCATTGCACACTCAGGGGCTGCAGCTGCTCCTCATAAAACTTGCCCTTCAGACCCTTCATCATCTTCGTAGCGTTCCTGGATGCTTTCTAATAGTTTTATGTCTCTCAAATATTTTGGTGCTCAAAACAGTAAATGAACATTTGCAAATGAAAACCTAGTTGCCAGCAAATGTTTTAAGCTATATGAACTTGTTTCACACTCAGGGGAATTTTCAAATCCTAGATACGATTAGCCACTTCATATTCACAGTTTATTATATATATATGAAATCCAAGTTCTCCTCTCATCAGCTCTGTAATCGTATGCTTTGATAAGGGCTACTGGTTTTGCTCAAAAATAAGACCTCTTCTAAGAAGAAACACTAGAATATCAAGGAATATAATTCCTTCCTTCAAACTGGCGACACTGTATGAGGAGCTATCACAATTTTCATTCAGGCCATTTACTATCTAGGTCAGTTATTTTCATTTCATACGTAATAGAAATGCCTAAATCAACTAGATGATTGAATACCAGAAAACGCAGAAAAGGATACAATTTTTACTAACTAAAATTGGAACCTTTATACTCATTCTACCATAACTTCCTGCACTTGGAAAAGTAATTTATATGATCTGTACAAGAAGTAATGACCTGTTTCTTTTTTTTTTTTTAAGTCATAACATAATGACTCCAAGTCCCTTCAGCAGGGTTTGACTGCTATTGATATCGCCTTATGTAACCAGACAGACTTTCAGTTCTCACTACGGTGAGATACCATGATACCAATAATACCAACATGTTTAAAATAATACGATTTGATATGCTCTATAGCTGATTTTACATAATAAAAATCATTGCAGATAGTATGTGCTCTACACAGTTAGTATATCTGCCACAATGTTATGATGGACAAAAGAGCAGAGTGGCTATTACAACAGTTGGAATTATTCAACTAAAGTGCACTACAAATTAAAAAACCCAACATATTGAAGAAGAAAATCTAAAGATAAAAGCATCAAGACCGAGGTCCTGATGTGATCACGTGGTTACAATGTTGAAGATACTTTGTCATGAAACCACTTTTGTTGCTTTTCTGTGATTTTTAAAAAAGTGCTCAAAATGCAGAAATACAAAGCCTGTTTTTAAGGTTATAAGCTTGAGGGAACAGAGCTTTTCCCTCTATTCCATAGACACAATCATGACATTAAGTTCATAAAAAACAGGAAAAAGAACCTAGAATTCTCCTTTCCCAGAAATATAGATTTCAAGATTTTCCATTTAGAGATATTATCCCCAAAACGCTCAACATCTGATGTTAGCCACAACAGCATCATCTTTAGGGAAAAAAAAAAGTGCATGCATGTTAGCATCATTATTAAAATGTATGCAACTACAGCACTCCAGCTTTCTTAGGAAAAGTTCTGGAACTCACACTCTTGAAATTAATCTTCTACACCTGACCTACTAAAAATCTCTATTAGACTTTAGAAGCTTCTAAGTACTTTTGCATTTGCCCTTGAGTCTTGATTTAAAATGTTTTATGTTAAAGGAAGGCAAACTGGTATGTAGCTACCTGTTTTCTGAAGGCCAACTATATCTTGGGCTGCATCAAAAGAGGGATGGCCACAGGGAGAGGGAGGAAGGTGACTGTCCTCTGCCCTTGTGAGGTCCTGCCTGCAGTACTGGGGCCACCAACACAAGAAAAACATGGACCTGTCAGAGGGAATTCCCAAGAGGGCCACAGAGATGATCAGAGGGCTGGAGCACCTTTCATAGGAAGAAAGGTTAAGGGATCTGGACTCGTTCAGTCTGGAAAAGAGAAAGTTCTGGAGAAATCTCACTACAGCCATCTGGTACTTCAACTGAGTCTGTAAAAAAGAGGGACACCAACTTTTTACATGGGCAGATAAGGACAGGACAATGGGGTACGGTTTTAAATTAAAAGGGGAAATTAATATTAAATATGAGGAAGAAATTCTTTGCTCAGAGGTTGGTGACTAACTCCCTGGAAAAAGCTGCCCAGAGAAGCCAGGGGTATCTCATCCCTGGACATGATCAAGGGCAGGTTGAATGGGGTCCTGGGCAGCCTGAGCTGGTGGGTGGTAGTCCTGCCCATTACAGAGGTTTGGAATTAGATGATTTCTACAGTCCCTTCCAACCCATGCTATACCACGATTCCATAAATTGCAAAAGTTTCAGCTTCACTTAGCAAAATGTGCAACTATCACAACGAAAATGCTGATATTAAGGGTAAAGCATCTTGACAAATATAATAGCTAATTTTGGATAGGCTTTTTGAATGTTTACTACAGTAAGTTTCACTAAAGCAGTAGGAAGCAAGAGATGCACTATACTTCAGTGTTCCACGTTAAAAATATTACACGAATTATGCATTGTCTCTCCTATACATACAAAACTACAACAGAATAGTGTCCATAAAATGTAAATGCTTTTAACTGTCAAGTATTGATAGGTGAATCACAGTGAATCAGTATTCAGTGCAAAACTGAAAAAGACTGTGCCTCTAATAAATTCAGTACAAGTCTAGCAAAAAAGCCTGCTGTTATCATGAAAGCTAATGTTATCATGAGATTACAACAGACGTTGAGTGAGAATATGTACAAATTTAATGAAATGTAAAAGAAAACACTTCAAATCATAACAAATTTCTGTAGTGCCTTGTATTGCATCTCATCGCCTGTTAAGGGCTCTTGTCACATTAGATACCATATTACCCTACGTGGCAATGCTGCCACAAAATGATATAAAACTAAAAAAAAAATTTACTGTAAGAGAAAGACTTAGATCTATTTGACAAAAGTTCTTAAAATATCAAGTATTTGCATCACAAATAAGATGATCATAAAGGAAAATGTAAAATACAGATTAAAATACTACAACATTTCAGATTCATAGTTCTTCTTACATTAGTACACACGCCTATACATACACACAGAAATGTGCATATACACACTTTCACTTACCTCAATAGCTTTCTTTATATACGGTATCTGTGTGCCACTGTCCAGATCTTCATTAATGATAAGTCTCCTAGCCCACTGACCTGCTCTGACAACACCATTACCATGAATTAGGACCAACAGTTTGTCAGGATTTGTTAATGCATCTTCACTCATAAAGATAAAGCTTTTTGGTTCATTCTCAGCGGCATCAACCTGCAATTACAGCCAATACAGACTTTTACACACGAATAAAAATTTCAAAAGAACATCTGTAGTTATAGTTAGCCCCCAGAATTGGTATCAAAACATGCACCTTTTTTTTTTTTGCTATTCATATATTTATTTTATGGTCTACTGTGTACCCAGCACAAATAAAAACAAAGCAAAAGCTAATATCCCTGCTACATAATTTTGAACCTTAAATATGCTTTAGAATGGTTAAACACAGATGGTTTAAACTGAATTATAGAAACAAAAAGGTGGATGGGCATGGTCAAAAAGAATGCTATGGCTTCAAAACAGAAATTGTTTGCAGTAATTTACTGGAAAAAGAGAGTCCATAAAAGAACAATCTTTGAAAAAACAAAACACAAAAATCAAATAATTTGTCACCTCTTACATGTTTGAAGCAAAAACAGAAGTCTGATATGGTAAAAAAAACATCCAAGAGTTCCATCTCAGTCACCTCAGCATACATACCCAGTAAACCACGTACAAGCCAGTATCGCAAATCTGCCTATTCTAAGTTTAATAAGTATAGCTCATTTAATAAAATACAGAAGTCCAGTTCAGATCTAAAGCAGTTCAGCAGCAGGACTCACATACTCTCCTGTAGGAACAAGCACCTTCAATATTCAGTAAACCAACTTTTGTTCTTAATGTAGACAGTAAAGGTGTGCGTTTTGCTTTTTTACAAACAGAAGTTCTATAAAACAGGCCTTTACTTGGCTTTGTAAGCCTTGCTCAAAACAGAAGAGCAATGTTTGTGGTCATTCTTCCTTTTTCTCCTACTTGAATACGATGGAAAGGAAGGGTAGATCAGGATCCCTATATCCTTTTGTACTCCGTACTCCACAAACCACACAAACTAACTACAGTTGCTAGGAATATCCTTGGGTTGCCTTAAACTCTGAAGTAGTGATGGGTATGAGCCTGACACTGAGAAAGGGGAAATGGCTGCTTGGAATATTCCAGATTTTCTATCTTACTTGGATATGCTATTCATCATCCCTCAGGAAAAATCAATTCTGCATGAATCTCCAGACTTTTTAAAAGTAAGCCTTGCCTATTCTTTTTTTTTTTTTTTTTTTTTTTCATGAAGCCATTGAGTATGCTTGAACAAAATGAATCTATAACTGGAAGAACATTCAGCATCTGCCATAGGGCTGAGGACTTGACGCTCTATTCCAGAATAACAAGACATTAATGCATCTCAGCTTTCATTCTTTACAACAGGAAATGTACTCATCTTCTCCCACACTTTGCAGAAAAACAGAAAATGTAATGAAAAAAAAAATTCAATTGAAAAGAGTTTATGAGTAGAACTGTATTGGGGATACAGTCATATCACACAGCTATTTCTGAAGTACCAGTACAGATGCACACAGACTGAATACATACAATAATATAATTAGGACAAAACTTTGAAAATTTGTGTTTCAGCAAGCTATGCCCTGGTTGTATGTTTCAGTATTTAGAAAACTAAATTTCTGTTCAGCAATTAGGAAATATAAGTACCTAATAATCGTATGTTCTAAAAGACACACTTCTACTTCACACTTCACTGCAATTACGCTAACATAAAAAAATAAAAAATATCTATTAAGCTATTAGAAAATAACTGTTTGTTCCTTTCTTCAACCGAATTACCATTGGAAACTTTACCTCAAGTTAATTTCCAACAGTAACAATTTGTTAAATCCAGCCTTCACTAAAGAATGCCCATAAAGGTAACTCTTGTGCACAACCTTATTTTATTGGCAAATCAATGCAGAATGCCACTTAGTGCTAGACAAACTGAGTACATTTAAAATAATTTATTTTTATCAGCCACTTTCTCTTCTGCAGCTATTCACACACTTATTTCTGATCTTTTGTTTAAAGACAAATTGAATGAGTTCAATGAAATGCTCAGATTCAATTAGTCTAATTTTGCTTGATTCAACATTGTTATTCCCATGCAGTAACAGTCTTATACAGATTTCTAGCTAGGAATGTCAAACAAATCCATATTTTGTTGATAATTTAGAACTTAAAATTATGTTCAATTTTTACTATTCTCTTTTTTTTTTTTTTTTTTTTTTTTTTTTTGTTCCTTTTTACCCCAGCAGCCAGGTTGAGTTCAAGCTGGGCTTTGCCTTTCTGATTTTCTCTCTACACATCTTAACAACTTTTCTGTACTCTTTCTGAGTCGCTCGTCCCTTATTCCACAGGAGGTAGATTCTCTTTTTCTCTTTTTCTCCCAGAGCCTCAAGAATAGCTCCCTACTCATCCACACTGGTCTTCTTCCCCGCCAGCTCATTTTGCAGCTCAAGGGGACAGCCAGCTCCTACACGTTTAAGACTTCCTTCTTGAAGAGTGACCAGCCATCCTGGACCCCTTTACTCTCTAGGACTGGAACCTAGGGGATTCCCCCTACTAGTCTTCTGAACAATTCAAATTCCGCCCTCTGGAAGTCCAAGGTAGCAGTTTTGCTGTTCCCCATCCTGGCTCCACCAAGAATTGAGAACTCTACCATTTCATGGTCTGTCCAAGACAGCCCCCGACCTCCACATCTCCCACCAGACCTTCTCTGTTTGTGAACAGCAGGTCGAGCAGGGTAGCTCTTCCTGTAGGCTCTCTCACCAGCTGCATCAGAAAGTTACCCTCCATACACTCCAGAAACTTCCTAGACTGCTTCTTCTGTGCTGTGTTGTATTCCCAGCATATGTCGGGGAAGTTGAAGTCCCCCATGAGGACAAGGGCTGGCAAGGACAAGGGCTGGCACTATCCAGCCTCGTAAACAGCCATTCCCCCTACTGTTTATATGCTCCCTTCAAGTATTCAATCTTAGATAAGCTATCACACGATGTATTTTTGTCAGTGTATAGAATATTTCAATAGTAGAATAGTTATTATTTTGCATAGCTGCTACCAATACTTAAGAGTAACAACAAAATATTCTAGAAATCTAATCTTATTCTGACTTTCATCCTTAGACATTGATGATATAACTTGATTTTCAGTTCTCAGCCATTAGCAGACTAAGATCTAGAGGTCTTTAATGCTGTCCATTGGGCATCCTTTTGTTAAAGACTGCTAAAGTTCAAAATTCTAAAGGGAAAGAAAAGCCCAATGTTTTTCTTATGTTAGTTAAGAAACACATTAAAAATCATAAGGACAAGTGTACAAACAGGTGAAACAGATGTACTTTGAGGGTGGAGGAAATAACAGGGAAAATAAATCTAACAAAAGACTCTACGGACTGAGAATTATGAGTACCTGGTGGAGGAAGGAAACTGCTAAGTTGATTTCAAGATAAGAAAGTCCCCTGCTATGTAGTTCTACACAAAACATGCTAATACACATTTCTGTCTTCATGAAATTGCATGTCCAGATTTATAATTTTTCAGTCATACAGTATAGTCATTCAGTACAAAATGAAAACTTCTGATCAATACTATGAGCAGCAGACTAGCATTTGGTGATTACCAGAAACAAATGAACACACCTGAACCTGGTGGAATTTTTACAATCCAGCATTAACTGGACTTGGGTAACAAGACAGCAAATACGAGCAAGCAGTGGAGATAAGAGTTTGTTGTTTCTCAGAGAAAAATAATTCTTGACTTTCCAGTAGATCAAGAGAACCACTGAATGAAGTTTTATCTACTGTAGTGAAAGAGCAAAGCATTGATAAGTTAGAAGACTCCGCAGTGAGTCCTTTCAGCACTATTCAATAAAACATGTTAGTAATTATTTAAACTTCTATCTCAGACATTCCCAGAAACTGTTAAAGATGCATTTAATTCAGAAGCACCCTCTATTTGTCCTCAACAGCTGAAAAACAGCAAAGATCAATCACTGATTATGCTATTTAAAACAGAGAAATGCGAAAGCCTCATCTGAATTAAAAAAAAAAAAAAAAAAAAAAGGAAAAAACAAGGAAAAAAAAAGGAAAAAACTTCAGTCTTTTTTGTATTAATAATTCAAACTTCAATGGAGCACAAAATGAGAAATTTAAAAGAAGTAATTGAACTGTTTCTCCGTGAATATGAGTCTCTTCATTTAAATTTTCAAGTCCAGGAGCAGATATTGAACATGAAGAAAACTACAATGTTTTTACAAAAACACTGTGCACAAAATACATCTAAGCTTCTCTGGATCAAAAAAGGTTTGGATTTATATTTGGCATAGATGCTAGGGAAATAAAGACAGTCAATATTTCCAGATTCCCAAACTATTCCTTTTTTTTTTTTTTTTTAATATGAAAGGAAATTTACAAATAACTGTTTCCAAAACTGAAGATGCCATCTGAGAAAGTAAAATAAAGACAGCAAAGTTGGACTTCATTCAGGAGGTGGAAATTAAGGAAAATAGGAGAACATGAAATGCTGTCAATGAAGCATAGAATTTCAGTACACTTCAGTACTTTGGGAGGAAAAGCACTCCAGTTCACAGCTTTGCTATGACTCACAGAAAAATAAAAGACACTACACCAACTTACTGATCTTTTGTGACAATATTCAGGAATAATACTTCCATATTTATCTCTGAAATTCTTATAAAAGGACCAGAATGGTCACACTATTCAGAATAGAGGTTCCAGTATCCTTTTTTTTTATAACCTGCAGGTTGATTAGTGAAACAGTATGAGAACAGAATGTTTACAGAAACTCTCATTTTTGGCAGCCAGCAAGTTTTGAGCTTCCTGGGACATGCTTTATTACTGGACAAGCGACCACAAGAATTCACTATAGCTGTCACACCTCAACACTGTCAAACGGGTTTTTTTTAATGCATTTGTACCTTTCTCCTTAACAGTATTCTGCATCAATGAGTTCCACAATATAATTGGGATCTACATGAAAAAAGTACTTCCTCTCTTTCAGTAGAGATCTCCTGCCTGATAATTTAAACTTGATGCCCCTTAGCTTCTCTATTATTAAAAAAAGCAAAAAAACATTCCCTATTCATCTCCTCTACACCTTTCATGATTTTATAGATTTCTCATATTCCTTCTATTTTCCAAGCTGTCTAATCTTTCTTTGTCTGAAAAGCATTTCATGCCTGTGATCATCCTTGCAACCCTCCTCTGTATTTTTTTTTTTTTTTTAAATTCTACGTATCCTTTTTAATACCGTGTCCAGGTTCCATGCAGTGTTCAAGATGGGGTACCACATAATGAGTGGAATGACTATGTTTTTCTGTTTTGTTCTCAACACTTCATAATTCCTAACATCCTATTTGCTTTGAGGGTTTTTGACTGCCATTGAGCACTAACTGATGTTCTCAGAGAGCTATTCACAATCACTCCAAGATCTTTCCTGAGTAGTTATAGCTCATTTAGTGGCCACCAGTGTGTTTACAGAGTGACTTCTTTTCACCACAATTTCACATTTACCAGGATTGAATCTCATGTCATTTCATCATCTAATCATCCAGTACCATTAAATAATACTCAAAATCATCCAAATCAGCTTTAGATTTAAGTATTCATTATCATTTTAGAAAAATCAGCTACTTTACTTATGTTCTATTAATTCCTTTTTTCTTTTTATTTATTAGTATGTCAGTGCACAGCTTAAAAACATCACATTGGCTACAACTACTTTCATCTGTAAAGTACAAATATCTTTTTTTTTTCCCTTTAGCCAGTTATTAAATCCTAGGGGATTCCCGCCTCATGTGTGTCACATCCTGCCTGGAAGAGGTGGGAAGGTGTGACCAAGCGTACCACAGAAAGTCAGAAAGTGTTTTCTTTAAAAGCATTTTGTAATCTTGTTGGCAGCTTGCTGAAAATCCATGTACTCTTCTATTGACAAGATTTTTTTTTCATGTGATCTCTGAGGCCTTTGATGAATTCTAGCATGTCTTTTAAAACCTGCTATTTAAAAAAAATGCTATTTAAAAAATAGTGCTGACTTTTATCCCCAAATATTTTTTCCTTATACACAGCTCTAGGAATCTCTCCTGGAGCCCTTTCAAAGGCCATCATATTCACCCTTTTCCATGCCTCTTTTGAGAGAAGCTGATTTAAGCAGTAAGTTACATTCTAGTTGTACGCAGCTTCATATTTGATTTCTTACAAAACCCTTGGCTTAAAATCTGTCTCATCCAGGAAGATGATTACTGTACAGTAAATCAATTTGTCCTAAGATATCTGCCACTGATATGCCAATTTGAGACAGTTCCTCAGATGTACATCCTGTTTCCAAAAAAATAACCAACCATCTAGTGTCGAAGTTTCTGGACAAACCGTATTGGGAAAAATCATTTCTGTTTTTCACACTGGAGCTGATGATTCAATATGCATGCAGCTCACCTATCAAATTCATGAATTATGTTATTAATAACCATTACAACTACAATTCCCCAAATTCACTTTTCCTTGATCTTATTGTGATATGAAACTTAACAGCAGCTACAATATTCTTTTCTATCTTCCTCATGTAACGCATCTTAATCTTGCCACAAGCCATATTACTGTTTCTATCAGCTTCCTTTACCAATTTAAACTATGCCTGTTTGTGATGCAAACATAGCATTTAGGCAACTTTGATTTTTCACCTTAATTTTTGTAGCCTTCTTCATAACTCATTTTTGACTGTGAAAAGAGCTTCTGACAAACACCAACAATTAACAACCATGCTATTTATACTTCGTAACAAATCTTCCACACTGCTCAAAATGAAATTGCACTGAGAGTTTGTCCCTTACTCCAAAATGCAATTAAACTACAACACTTAAGAGAAGCTGGAAGCAATACATTTGAAAACGGTTTAAGTGCACTTGTGACAAACTCCATCATCACACCAGTGCTTACAATGTAAATCACAGAAAAAGAGTAAATAATGAACAATTCTCCCAACCCAGATACTAAAAGCTCAGAGCAGAGGAGAAGAAAGTATTACATGCGTGACAGAGGTGATGGCAGCAAGGTGAAACTTAGTCCAAGCTTGTTCATCTTCCATTCTAATAGTGATGGAAAATCTACACAGAGCAATTACGCTGATGGTTCCTCACTGAACACCATGTTACTGTATACACTTCTAGACAGATGCACTCTTTCACGCTGTCTGTGGAGTGCTTTGTCATTTTTAAAGGCCGATCATATATTTTTACTAAACAACAATGGCACTTTATAGCACATACATGTTATAAACTAATGAAAATGTGCTTTTTAACAAAAAGACATGGAGTAGTTTTACTGTGACTCCACTTTGAGTCTCAAAGTTTTGTTTGTCTTTGCCTGCTGGAGACATCTGTCTTTAGTTCTGGAAATCCATCTATAAAATATTCACAAACAACATTTCAAAAAACTTATTGTTCCTCTACCAATATTAGGACATTTGGAATAATCTGGTGTCTGGCAAGGTGAGGAAGGCTCAGCTGGGAAAATCAGGCACATTAACAGTCAGGCAAAACCACTTCTCCAGATGTGCACACATACAGCATGTGAAATCAGTGCTCTGAGACCGTACTTTGCACAGAGCCCCTGTCTATCTGAAAGCTATCTCTACATTTCACAGATTCAAGTGAAAAATATCTTTGAAAAATAATTCTACTTACTGGGAGAGTTATTTTTTTCAAGTGGCATTCCTTTTCCAGTAGTCCATAAACATGTTTAGTAATAATCTGCAAGAAAAAACAGACCAAAAGAGAAAGCAAACAGAAGTTAAATTACCTACATAATTACATGTCCAGGCAGACAACTTGAAGGCTAGTTGGTTAAACTTCTGAGAACTTGCACATGTTTTGCCACATATCTGAATTCTTTACTGTACAACTAATTATAGAACATAGAGCTTTATACAAAAAGGTCCTCTCTGGCTCTCAGTAAAGACCGCTTGCCAGTACAAAGAAATTGTAACTGTACCTGTGAATCCATCACCTGCTGCTGTGTGAATAATTATGTGCCTGAAAACTAAGGATTATAACCAATTAATATATACTCAGGGGTACAAGAAAGGATCTATTTTGCAAAGAAATACTTTAAAAGCATTTTTTCCTTAAGCAGGACTCCTGAAACCCTGTCCCCTGCAGGTTCACTTCATGAGCTACATGGAGAGCAGATCTTTAGTCACCCTCAGCACAAGTTGCCTTGCCATTTCTATTCATTGAACTGGGGAAGGATGGGTCAAAGGTATTCCAAACAGAAAAAAAAACCCTGACTGATTTCCCAGTACGGGGGAGTTTAAGTCTCTTGTCTCCACACAGAAATAAAATTGAAGTTTTAGACTTGAAACAAAAGGAATTATTTCAAAGAGCATCAACAACAACAACAAAAAAACCAACACAGCCCAGTCACAACCAAACAAATGCTGCCTCAAACTTAACCAAATTGTTCAGACTTCAAAAGTTTATCTCCTATCTAGGGACATTTTTCTCATCCTTGTAATTGTATGAAAATGGAGATGCAGATGGAAAAACTTTTAAACTATCATTAATTTGCAAATTAAGTTGAGGAACAAACTGAAGTGCTTTGTCCATATAGGGTTCTAAAAATGGTTGGGAAGTAACTGCCTGGATTTCACTGGCTGCTGAAGCTTAAAAAGGAAAAGGGGGCACAAATTAAAGAGGAAAAAAATCTGCTCATTAAGAGCTTCAAATGGTGCTTGCCTTCATTTTAAAGCTTGAGGAACTATGTAAATTTCAGACCGGACAAGATCTAAGACTGGAATTATTAACCTAAGAATATTTGGATACAAACCCACCTGGTATTCTTTAGTCCAACTGCTCAAGGCCACAATTACTGCCATCTGAACCCATAGCATATTAAGCCACAACAGAAATGCTGCTGTAACGAAAGCTCTCAAGTGATGGTATCTTAACAACACCCTGAGAACTGAGCAAGTAGGAGCCAGGGTATCATAAACTTCAATTTTAATTTTCCAAATGTAGAATTAACAAATAAAGTTTCAATGAAGTCCAACAGTTTTCATTATGTACATGTGAGCAAACATAATATGCAAACATTTGAAACATATTTGAACAAATTAGAGGTGCTGATGAAAGCTAATTAAAAAAGTTGTACCTGTCCCCTGCCTTCCCTAATCCTCCACTACACAAAAAACTAAATCTTTATTAGGATTCTGTGAATTCTTTCCTTCCCTGCTCAGATATGTTTATTGATAGAATTATGTTAAAAAACTTTATGGTTTTAAAGAAAATCAGTCTTACTGAACATCACTATCTACACGGAAACTGCATTCAGGGAAGGAATTTAGCTGTGAGCCATGAGTTGATTTAAGACATGTTTATCCCCAAAGCAGTATGTTAGGAACATGCATACAGTGTAATTTTACCTTCAGGGCCAAACTTTTTATGGTTCACCGAAATCAACTTCAGTGTAATGCCAGCAAGTAAAACAGTTAAGTTCCTGCAGTCTCAGATACTGATGCTGTACAGACATTAAAATGAATATAATGATAATATGGCCTCAAAGATAGAAATTTTATTTTTCACTCTAAATCCAAACATCTACAAGCCATCAGAAATACCAGAAGAACCCCTGGAAGTGAAAAAAGATTGCAATGAAGAAAATGTATTTTAGACATTACTTGTAAATTCTCTTTTTTTGAAGCTGCGTTACATATCTATATCTTCTATTCTCTCTTATCCATTCAGACTGTGATGTCTTCAGGGCAGATGCAAACCTTTACTGATTTTTTCCAGAACCAGACTCAATGGGGCTCTGATCCTAACTCCTCTTTATGCACTACTCTAATACAATAAACAGTGATATCAGACTTAAAAATTGAATGGTTAAATCAGTAGAGTGCTCCTGTAAAGCAAAGATGTAATCTAATGAATGACTTCAATAAAAGAAGGCATGAAGAAAAAAGGTTGAAGTCACTAACGGAAATGGTAAAACTCAGACAACTCAACATCTGGATGGCCTCCAAGGCTGAGAACAATTTGAAGAAAAAACTGTAAACTGCCATAGTGTATTTAAGATCAGAGGAGGTTTTTTTTTTTTTTTTTTTTTTTTTTGGCAGCAGGAGTTCAGTAAGTTCAGGGATTTACTTTAGCAATAGCTGGTATACTTGCTGTCAACCTGACAGTTGAAATGACGGACGGAAGATAACAAAAAGGATTTCTTGATATTTATGCTCTTCCAACTCAATAGGCCTGCCAACAAGCAGTATGCTACATTATAATTCAAGGTAACAAGGCTGCTGGTGAGCAGGAAGCACCAAGGGTCTGAGATGAGACGAGAAAAAAACCAAGATTAAGGCTTGCAAAAAATGTGTGAAATCAATGGCCTGGATGAGACAGTAGACAGGAAGAAAAAAATGCCTATTCTCCATTTCTTGCAGGAAACACTGGGAACCTGATTTTAAGTTGTCTTTCCTCTTCATTCAATTCTGAATGCAATCTAACAGAAAAATTCTAAATTAGATAAATATCTGAATGAAACACTGTTAAGCTGTTAAGGTCTTCTCACTGCCTGCTTTGAGAACTGGGGAAAAAAGCAAGAGCAAAGCACATCCATACCTCATGCCCCCTGCTCTGACAACATGGGAGAAATCCTTCCCAGCAACAAAAAGGTGGTTAGCCTCACACTTCCACTCCACAGAAAGGCTGAATTGGTGAACTAGGGGAATCCTTCTTCCCAGCACAAAGTGGTCCTCCTGGGAAGGAGCTAAATGGCTTATACATTAACTTTTTCTTTCAGTGTCTCTCTTTCTGTAAGCCTAAGGATTTTCAGCCTACTATGGACTATGAACTGCATTTAAAGCAGTAAAACCTATGGTTCAGGACAGGAATCAAACCTGAATGCTCAGTTACCCTTCTGAAGAGTACAAAACAATAAACCTTCTGACGTACATCTTATCTATACAGTGACAATGCCTCCAGAAGTACTTTTCCAAATAACTAGGGACCCAAAGTAAGACATCTATGAAGTTCAAAAGTCTTAAACAGATTTATGTTATGAACAGTAATATTTATTACATCTGAAAAACAATTAAACCAACAATATAAAAAAAAAAACTTCAATGATACAAATTTGAATACTGATAGTTATGAAACGTTAGAAATAACATATGAAGATAAAAAATAACCCAACACAGATAGATTTAACTCAACTCCCCCATATGGCTCCACAACCAAAATAATTTTAATTATGGAGCAACTAAGCTTGATTACCTGGACAGTCAGAAAGCACTGAAGATCTTTAAATAGCAGAAGTCTGGAAAAGATGGCAACTGAAATCATGCTCTCAAGGCAAGAAGGTATCTCCAAAAAATTTAAGGTAATAAATCTTGAATTTCAATTCAGTAAGAAATTGAAATAAGTATTCTAAACCATATAAAAAAAAAAAAAAAATACAAGAATAAACTTGACACACAGGAGTAAAAGCAGAATATGTGATCCACTGATTAACCTTTCCATAACACTGATAGTCAGGTGTACACATAATAGATTAGAACGCAATGATTTGTTTTGTTACAGCTGCATTCTAATCCAGCTGATAATTTTACTTTAAAGCTTTAAAATACCTGCTAGAATTTTCAGAACGATATAGATCATAACGCTAAAACTAAGTAGATTATAGACAAAAAGCACACATGGTGTGGCATTTTCCTTCTTGCCCAATTCCCTCTATTTTCATAAGGCCTACCACAAGCAAATCTGAACACCTTCCCATTGTATTTACTATTCTTCCATTAACCTTATGAACCAGCAATGCTTTAACCTCAAGGTTGGCCATATCTACTACTAAAATAACACATAATAGAGAAAATTCTCAGCTACAAAATACAGTATTTGAATATAGTCATCACTATTAGCTACGCATTTCCACCAGCGATGAACAAGTGCCTTCCTGCTGTGCTCGTAACAATCTGTACCACTGGAGATGCCCTCTGTTGCTGTTGCCACTGCTGAAACACACCACCTACCAGTTCACTGTGCTCACACCCACTGGTTGGTCTCCATAAACCAAGCAGCAGTATTAGTGGTTGCAATTTTTTCCACTTAGAGAATTCAGCGACACCCTTTTGCTTCATCTGCACTTCCATATCAGATGCCATTCTGTCAGATTGCCCCTCTGCAGCTATCATGGCAACAACATGTAATGGAATACTGGTTGGGAGGTTCCATCTCTACTGCCGTAATACCAGCATCTGTCTCTAACATCATGGGCCAACATAATATAATACGAGGCATTACTTTTGGAGCAGCCCTCACAAGTACGTTTGACTTGACACTGCCCAGTAGAGCAAGAGAAGCTCCCCAGCAGCCTTCTTGACTTACAGCCTCGCTGAATCTAACTTTTTTTAAAAAATGGATCCTTCTCATGGATAGAAGGAATATTATTTTCAAATGATTTAAATACAATCTCTGAGATGTCCCTAGGAATTTCTAGGAATTTCAAGGCTGTATTCACAGGCTGAATGTTTTTTAACTAATCAAAGAAATAAACAAGTAAAAAACAGTAGAAGCAATATAATGACCAAATGATCCACTGCTGATACATGCAATGTTCCTTCAGAGCATTATCAGATTTATCTCCTGAATAATAATAAGCACCTTAATGGCAAAAAGAGAAAATGAGCAGGAGAAGAAAAACAATGCTTATAACATACAGTAGTCAACTCACAACTTCTTCCTTTTTACAGTATAACAGC